TATACTCCATTGAATGAAACTAATGAAAGAAACAGGAACAAATTATGGGAGAAAGTGCAAAATCAGCAGTGACAATTTATTATTGTCATATAATATCAATACTTCTGGAGCTTTTGTGGTTGTTGGTTTGGATGCAATTGAAAGGGCTTGCTATAGCCTATAAGTTATAACCCATAAGGCCTTATACCAGTTGGGTTGGGAATCTTTGGGTCTATCTAGTCCAAATAGAATCTGCCTGACCAAGATTATTTGACCTTTGAGAGAGATTGCATGCTGAAATCTCCTTGGGATATAGTAGGAAGGAACATGGAGGTAAATAGTCTCTGTTCTGACCGAGATTTTCCCAACAGCACGAAACCCTCCTTGTCCTGAAAAACCCCTTTTATTTAGTTTACAGTGAATTCCTCTCCAGCAAAGTCCCGGCCAATAATCTTTCAAGATATTTCACAATTACAGACCTTTATCAGGCTTGGAAAATTGCCATGCCTATATCTTTCAAATGCCATACTGTAACAGACAATACTTGGCAAGAATGCAGGAACAGATCTTCACCCAAATGAACTAATTGTCTCCTGCAAAACCCCACTCCCCTTTCGCTTCTCTTTTATTCCCTATGGGAGGGGCCATTCACCGCTCACCTGTGGCCTTACTCCCAAATTGACCCCTGTTCCTTAGCTGTTCCCTTCTTCTGGCAGCTCTGCACATGTGCCCACTGGGAACAGGCTCCAGCTGTTCTTCTGCCTCGCTGATGTCCGAAGGCAACTGATAACTATCAGATGGCCCTGGACCCATCTCTGCCTCTGACGCAGAGCACACATCAGAGCCTTCCCCAGACTCCAGGACTGGCCCATGTTCCTGGCCAACCTCCTCACTGTCCAAATCTTCTGCCAGCTCCAATGGCTGCTGGTGGGCCACAACAGTCTCTGTTGAACTTATTTTTTGAATCTCATGGGGCTAGTGGTCTCATGAGTTGGAATCGAAGCAGGTATGGTGTTGGTAAAGGTCTTTCGATAACCAGAAGGATGCCATGAAGATGATTTTTGGAAATGAAGATGAAGGCTAGCTGCTAAAATGACTAAGACAGATTTAGACATTTCCTAATGGTTGCTAGAGATTGAATATTGGTTTTAATTCAGATAATGAGGACGGGGTAGTCATCCTAGAATTGATGGGACAAAATTTGTACTGCTGAAGGTTCATTAACTCATGAGTACTCACAATTCCATAAAAGATTTGAGGTTATGATCAAGAGATGATTTCCAAAGAAGAAAAGGCACCATTGATATCACTGACCAACATAGTTGGCACAGAGGGGATATATCAAAAGACAGAAGAAAGTAGATTTATCTGTCTACCAACAGCTGGATCAAGGCCAACTGTCATCTTAACTGAGTGACATAGGAAGGAAAATGACCCATAATTCTGCAATTCCTTTCTTTAGCTTTCAGTAGGAATAATTCTAATATTTAACAACACAAAGTGTGCATACATGCTAAGAACACAAATATGCTAATACACTCATGTTTAGAATAGCTTTGAGATGAAAGTTATACAGATAGTCTTTGACTTTTGACCACAATTGAGCCCAAAATTTATGTTCCTAAGTGAGATATTTGAGTTTTGCCCCATTTTGCAACTTTTGTTGATGCAGTTGTTAAGTGAATTATTGCAGTTGCTAAGCTAATAACCCGGTTGTTAAGTGAATCTGGTTTTCCCATTGACTTGCTTGTCAAAAGGTTGCAAAAAATGATTGCATGTCCCTGGGACACAGCAACTGTCATAAATATAAACTAGTTACTAAGCATCCAAATTTTGATCATGTGACCCTGGGGATGCTGCAACGGTTTTGTGACAAATGGTCATAAGTCACTTTTTACAGTGCTGCTGTAACTTTGAACAGTCACTAAATGTACTGTTGTAAGTTAAGAACTAGCTGTACTTTTTCTCTATCATAAATAAAATAAGGAAAAAAATGGAATATTATGTGGTGCTGCATTTTTCAATTAAGTCCTTAAATATATGCCATGACAATCCACTTGACCTCTACTGATAAGCATTTAAAGAATCTTGTAGAGCATGCTTTCTGCATACTTTTGTGTGCCCATATACTTACTGTAGAGACAAATAACTGTCTTTTAAAATCACTGCATTAAAGTCAGTCAAAACACAATATGTGTCATGCCCCTGGTGGAGACTGACTCTGAGGAAGAGGAGGAACAGCCAACAGGGAGTGGAAGTGTGGCTCCAGAGGTGGTGGAGGAGGCGGGGGAAGGGCAGAGGCCGGCCGAGTAGTCAGAGGAGGACCCAGGCCCATCCCCTATCCATTCTAGGGCACGCAGGGAGGAGAGGATCAGGGTAAAACGTGGTCTACTTGGGAGGAGAGGGCCATGATCCTCCATGGGTTGCAGGTGGGAGATTTGCATAAGAGTTTGGACCTGCGTGCTAACAGACACTGGAGACAAATTAGTGTTTTATTCCTAAAGAAGGTTTATCTTGGTTGGCGTTCTTCCAACGGACTGTCCCTGGTTATCTTCCTGAAGTTGGCAATTATCTACCCTGGTCTGTTGTAGAACTTTATTCAGTGTGGTTTGTTTTTGTTTTTTGCTTCATTATCGGCTCTTTGAATTTGAACTGTGTTTCTTTCCTTTGAAATGTTATTTTGAAAATAGTTTACTCCTCCACTGTGAACAATTAAACAGTGAAGCCAAGTTGAAGGCATTAAAGCACTTTCAGTTACGTTTTGGGTTTTGTTATATTTCTGATATACTCTGGGTCATCACAATATGTACTATGCTAGTTTAAAAGATATTGATTTTAAATTTTGTTTGTTTTCCCATTTGCTGTTATTCAACATTCTATAGATATAAAAGTATTATTTTAAGTATATAAATATAGTATCAAACCTCTGTACAATTTATGCCTGCTCCCTTTATGTTATGCATTCTGATTCTGATTCAAACTATAGCTCTTAAATTAAAATTTGTCTTGGCAGGAGGACCTTTGCACAGTTACATATTACAGCCTAGTTGTGTCCCTTCAGTCTCTTATGCTCAAATGCCATCTGGTACAGCATGCAATTTTGAATACACCAAGGTTTGCACATGTAACACTACATTAAGGGAGTTGCATTGCCTAGCAATTCATTTATGGATGTAGTTGATGCTGCTGTTAGCCAACTTTAAAGTCTACATGCCTTAGGGCCTTCATAACTCCATGAGTAGCTTCTGTGACATGACTCTTCAGATAGCTATTTCATATGAGTAAGATTATGCTTCCCCCAAATGGTAGTAGATTTTTCATCATTATATTAAGATTATTAACTTTTCAGATTCTCTGGAATGGAACAGCAATTGTAGTAATCAGTTATAGAAATGCTCAGGTATCATGCTAATTGTAAATAAGCTCTACTAAGCCATAAACGAGACAGTAAGGTTTTTGGATATAACAATAAGCAGTAAAGTTCTGTCCCTCAGTAAAATTTTGTCTATTAATTTTATAGTCAAGTATCACAACATTGGGCTAATGAAAAAAGTATGCTCCCAAAAGGATATATTTATCAGCATTTTCTAGCTGAAGTGCAGAACTAAATGTTACCATTACTGTATCTAATATTGAATGAAACTATTTTTTACTGTTTTTGCTTTGTTGCTGCCATTTTGCATTTTGGTGACTAATGTGGGTATCTTCGGTCTTATTAAAACATGTCGGCATTTGGGACATAATAATATGTTTAACCTAAACTGTTAGATAAACCATGTCTGATATTTAATCTATAAAAGCTCTGTATAATGGGTAAAATATATTTTCTTTGTTTTATAATACCATATTCATATTCTAAGCAAAGAAAAAAGAGCTTATCTGCAAAGTTTAAAGCACTGTATTTGCCGCTACCACATATAAGTTAGATAAACAGGTGGAATCCAATGGCTGTTTTAATAAAACAGGTACTATCTACCTGAAAAAAATTGCTTCTGTTGCCATAATGCAAGCTTTGCATGCCATAAGTCTTTGATTTACATTTTCACATCTGACCATAGTCTCAGGATTCCGGCAGTTACTCCAATTAAATCATGAGCCTTGAGCCACACTCCCAAAACTTCAAAGGATTTATTAGAAGTTAACAGGCCGGCATTTGCCTGGGCGTAGCAGACTCAGAGATATGTAATTCACTGTCGCCCTTGACGCTGCTTTCCCCCCCACCCCTCTGGGTGTCTCATCCAATGAAACACGTCCATAGCCAAGAGTCATCCATCATGCTCTCCAATTAGATTTTTGCGTGGCAGAAGCTTCAGTCATCTAATCAGTTTCTGAAGAAAATATGAATGGAATGTACTTTCGATTCCACACTGCTGCCTGCTCTTTGAAACTCCCCCCCTTCTTTCTGTTGACAACTATAAAACATGTATACAAAATGTTTTATGAGTTGACACATAGTTTTATTTCAATAAATTTAAAGAACATTTTATTTAATAGAATAATTTATTTTTAAGGAACTTGTAGGCTTAATGAATTTATAGTAATTTCTTATGCAGCAAATGCACAGAGATAGGACTGAACCCTCAGTTACCTATTAAATATGTACATGCATTTTGGCCCTTGAGATATGTTCCCAATAGAATCCTCTGTTTATATTTTATAGAGAGTATTATTTGTCTACACTGTCTTGAAAAAAGGGTCCAATGGACCCAGGGAGACGTCTGCATAAAAATGCATAGAACCATTATGTAAACATTTTTATAGTTTTAATTGGAGATACCCTTAAAGGACATATTGCATAGTTCCCCCAGTGGACCATGTTTTATGAGGATGATAATGTTTTGCTCAGCTGTTGTTTGCAATTTCTGGTGTATTATTAAATTTTGTCATGTGTTCATTTTCAATTCATTGCAGAAATTTTAAGTAAAAATATATAAGTGTATAAGCAATTTCACTGTTGACAAAACAACAACCTAAAAGTACAATGCAGTTTTCTTTCTTTCTTTTGTTCCATCACATTTTAGTCATTGTGTGCCCAGTATTCTGCAGAAAAACGTGAAGATGAGAAGATGTGTGATCATTTGATAAGGGCAGCCAAGTATCGTGATCATGTGACAGCAACTCAGCTGATACAGAAAATCATCAATATACTGATGGACAAGCATGGAGCCTGGGGCAATTCTCCACCAAGGTAAATAGACAAATTACATTTTGGCAGTGCATACATTTATTTAAGTGACAACAGTCTTGAAAGGACAGTTAGTAAAATTAAATTCGAACTTGGGGAAAAAACCACAATACAACTTAATCATTTCCTAAATGTTTCACTTTTTTCTAATGAGTCTAAAGGAAAAAAGAATGCTTTTGTTGAAGAAAGCATCGATGACCTCTTCACTAAATAAATTCAATAAAGATGGTTCATTGGTTTCTGAACTTTTTAAAACAAGACTTGTGTAATTGGCTTGTAAACTTTCTAACCCATCTGACAGAAAATATAATTATTTTCACTTTATAACATCCCACACTGATGATAAAATTGTATGATAATAAAATTGTGTAATGTGCTTGGCAGTATCCTTAACATCATTACATACATGTAAATGACATTATCAGGAAAACAAAATGTATTTACAGGAAAGCCACATTTAGCTACAATGAAATCTCTTTAAAATATATAGTGTTTTTCTGTCCTAATTAGTGGCGGTCTCTCTCTCTCTCTGTGTCTCTCTCTGTGTGTCTCTCCCCCCCTCTATCTCTATCTATCTATCTATCTATCTATCTATCTATCTATCTATCTATCTATCTATCTATCTATCTATCTAT